TGGTATGTATTCATTCATATCAAGTATTAACTCCCTATTAAAAAAAAAAAAAAAAGATAGTGGGAAGAAGGCTGTGAGAAATAAAGCCCATGTTTTGTGATGACTATAATGAGATTGCATAGGACATAAATCATTGATGGCAAATTTAAATACATGTACTTAAAAGGGAATGGATTTCCCGTAATACACGCTAAAACATGCTCTATATTAGCAATGCTAAAGAATCTCTGAACTCCGAACTCAGGGTTTGTATACAGAAAAAACTGATTGATGTATATAACATTTGACATGAGTGGGGTCCTATTGGATAGCATGAGGGTTGATAAAATGCAAGTAAGTTTGGAAGAAACTACATTAACACATAGTAAATAGCTTGCGTTCCAGTGTGGCTTAGGTCTGGCTCTGGTCTAGGCCAGATTTGGCTGTCATCTTCACTTTTAAAATGTGAGCTCCACATGCTTCCCTGTGATGAGTAAATTCTGAGCAACTCCTCTCTTTTTAAAAAAAAAAAAAAAAAAAAAAAGTACTCTCAAAACATGTATTACATCTGATGTTCTTCCTGGTAGTGTGTATTTACACAAGGGAATAGTTCAGAAATTACCTGTGTGAAAACAGGAGCATTGATTTCTCATAAGAATCCAGACACTTCATGTGGACAAAGCATTCCCCCATGACTGCTCCTATCGTAGTGCAGAAGTTTGGGTTTACTGCCTTTATGTAGGAAACGTGTAGTTATTTACTTTATCTTTTATGTGAAAGAGCAGAGTGTGATAACCCGTGCCTTCAAAGATCCTGTGTTTCAAGAAATACAGAAATCAGAGAAAGATATAGATTCTTTGACTTTTGGAAGGTGAAGAATTTCAGTTAGCATTTTTAATTTTTTCTAATGAGCATGACTAAAAGTTTTAAAAAGATACTTTTAACATAATGTGGTTTGAAGAGTTTAAGTGAACAAAAAATGCTAAGTATCGCACTGATGCTGAAAGTGTACTCTTCAAAATCCTTGTATATACTGTATTAACAGTGAAATCCTTTGAATTAAAACCTAACCATGAATGGGGACCAGAAAGGATATTGAATAAATATTAATAATTTATATCATTATATCAAATATATAATTTATATAAAACATGGAGAACGCAACATAATTGTCAAGTCTCAATATGTTGCGCATGGTTTGTAAGGATCTAATATGCCATTGAACTCCACGGTAATACTCCACTTTTGTTACTGATAGTTAAATGTACCTAAAATGATTATTCAAATTTAACCAAGTATTTCTTTTCTAGGTGACCCTGTTACGCTATTTCTCCTTATACCTTTGTTTTACTGAGTTGTAAAACACAATCTGCTGAATGCTAATGGAATTAAGTCAGCAGTACTTGATAAATGTGTGTGTTACTTCACATAGCTGAGATTACTTCAAAACTACAATATATGCAACTCAATGTGGATATTATAGCCTTTGTATAGATTTGTCACTTGAATAAACTCACTGAAAAAAAAATCTTTTTTCAGTACTTACCCATTTATGTTAAAACTTATTTTTAGAGTTCAATGTATTTTCCTAAACAAAAGATCTCTGGCTGTTTGAATAGTTTGTCTTACTATTTTAAAAGAAAGAGGCAGTTAATTTAATACTACGGATTCCTGTCTCTTCCAGATCCTCTTTTCTTAGACACTCTGCTTTTCTCTCAACTTTTGTTCCTCATTCTTGTCTTCTGTTTTTTGGTTCATTGAGGTTCCACAGATTTATCTTGGAGTGAGGTAACGTAAGCTGGTGACACAGGAAATAGTCTCTTTGCAAGCACCGTATCTGTTGTCAGCTAAGTATAGGGCAGGAAGCATTCAAGGTTAACACACCTTCATTTCCATAAACAGCTCTTCAAACAACAAGATAACAGAAAAGGAGTTAGTTTTCTGCAGCCATTTATGGCCTATCTACTTTTATAACTACAAAAGACTGTACACAAATACATTAAAGTAGATTTTTCTTTTCTAGGCAAGAATCTAGAAACACGGTCACTTTCTTACCAGGTAAATATAAAGACAAGCTCATTCTCTCAAGAACTTGTTACAAAACTTTCTCGTATGTGTCGAAAATTAACAACCTTGCAATATTAATGGATTGTGTGAAAGAGGTATATTTGTTTGCAGGAGATGACAATTTTATGTTCTTAATTATTTGAAATAAACACAGTCTCCTTGCCTTTTGATTGCTAGCGGGCTAAAGATGTTTAAAGAAAAAAGTGTTAATTTCTGTATCTTTCTAAACAACAGTTTAACTTTGCAGCAATATTTGTTTTTATGTCCATATCTTGAATTAGACTTACGCATTATGAACATGCACAAATTGCAAGTATACATAATGTAGAAGCTTAGTATAGACTAAGTCTGCTCAAATGTAACAAACTGCAAGATCAGGAGTGGGATTTTGTGGGACAGGCAATTTTCTCTCTTCGGTATAGTACTGGTTACTAGACAAGATAAAATTTTTACCTGTTAGGTGGGGTGATTATAGAGATTGTTTTTTTAAAAACCTTTTTACTTCTTACCTGGTACACAGAGAAGAAGAAAAGGGAGAATCAAAAGGTGCACACTACTAAAAAAATATTTTCACAAACACACTTGGGAACTCACAGGTTGTTTGAGGGGGGAAAGGTTGCCATAGCTTAAGGTCCCACTTTTGCAATCCAAGCAGACAGCTGTTCTAGTTCCCAGGAATTTCATGAAATTTCTAAAGAACCGTAGGGATTCACTGGGCAAATCTGAATGCAAAATCAGATGTGTGTTTACGTGACAGTCATATTTGCGCAAATGTGTTTGGAACGATAAGCTGTAAAAAAATGGGTCAGGACAGCTTATTACTATGCAAATTACAGCCAAATTTTCATTCACAATTTTTAAAAAAATATAAGAAACAACTTCTCTGATAAACCAGTGTTAAGTTTTCTCTTACCTCCTATAATTCTCTTTTCTACATTCCACTATGAATCAAATGCACCCCATATTATCAGGATCATTAACCTGGAAAGTATTAGTTACTATTTGTTATCATATTACCCCCTTTATTTTGTTTTGAAACTTTTCCTAAATATTCGCAGCTGTAGAAATATTACTTCCTGCTCTTTTAGCAGTTTTTTTTTTTTTTTTTTTTTACTTTTAAGCGAGACAGAAATATAATGCCAACCTCCTCCTCCTGTAGATACAAAAGGGAGTTTGTGATACTCCTTTCCTTCTTGCTTTTCTTTCCAAGCTGGTGAAGAATCACAAGGGGAAGCAGTAGTGTAGGGTCAGGGTTAGCACATCCAACAGCAACTGCACAATGAGCTGCACCCTGGGGTCCCAGCCAGCTTTGGACATGGGCTACAGCTGCCTTGCAGGTGCCCACTTCCAAAGGATATCAATCTTTTTCCCTGCGTGGGATACTTCTGGTCTTATTAGTGACCTGTGATCACAAGGTATCACTAATTCTTAGCAGACATGAAAAAAAGTATTTGAGGCTGTACTAGGCAAAATAGTTCTAGAAGACACAGGATAGTATTAGCACCACTGTTCAAAGCACCAATAAAATTTCATCTGTGTTGGGTACAGTGATAAAAACAGATTAAATTTAAAACAGCTGCAGGAAGACTCCAGGGTAATGGCAAGTCTGTTTTGCCAGGAGAGACTAAAAGCTTGGTTTGTTTAGCCTAGCAGAACTATCACTGCTTTTCTACACAGCAAGTTTCTGTTTAATGAACCTGTAGCAAAATGAAGCTCTTTTGAAAACATCACTTTCACCTTATGAAATTATCTTTTTTTTTTTAAATCACTTATGCATTTTCTTGTTGCATGCAGCCTGATTAGCAGCTAATGCCATACAATATTTTGTTTCCTTAAAAAAAAAAAAAAAAAAAACACAGTCCTTGGACATGTTTCCATGCAGACTTCTGAATGTGTTGCAAAGTGACATGGAATAAGGCTATAGTGCCAACAGTGAAAAAAGTTACCATGCAGAAAAGGATTAAGGCCTGGTTATTGGCTGACATGTGAAAAAAGCCTGGCTTCATTTTGTGATGAGTGCATTGAAATCCAAAGAGAAATAGAACACACAACATGACAGGTATGTATCCAGCAGCAGACTGGGAGTTGGATGTACTTTTTGCCAGCATGCAGAACCCCTAACAACTCTCAAAAAGGAAAGAGATGAAGTCACAAAAAGAACAAGAACATCCAGAAGGGAGAGCATGCCTGGCATCCTCTTGGTTAACCATTGAGATTTGCCTGGTAGAGGAGGCAGGGACCATCAGTATTTAAAGCTGAACTTGTAGCCAGAGCACACTGTGGTATTTAAATGACCTTTCTATTCCCTGCTCCCGTGTGCAGACTTAGCGTTACATGTCTCCAGAAAGAAGCTGGAGTTAATGGAACGCAGTACTCTGTCCTGTGGCTGAAGAAGCTTCTTCTCCAACTTGGCATCGTTTACTCCCTGGCTAGATAGCCTGCTCTGAACAGATGAAAAGCTTCACCTTGAAGTAGAAGGGTAAAGATTTCACTTTTTGTAGTGTAAGTATACACATTATGGAATCTAAATGTATTATCTAAAAGCTGCACATAAATCTAGTACCAAAGGCATATTTTGATGGACCAGCAAAGAAATTTTGGATCTGAAAAGAGCCAGGGTCTATAATATGGATTTTTTTTTTTTCCTCTCTGGCTCTGAAAACAAAGATATTAAGTTTACCAGCTTACTTATGACATAGGAATAACTGCTACTGCTAGGGATTTAGCTGAGCAGTTCTTGTTTTATTGCTCAAACACAACGTGTCCAGTTTGTGTTTGCTAGCTGGCAAGCCTGCTTTATGGACCTTCTGGTCTGTCAAAAACTCACTGAAGAAAAGCATAGTGCTATGTGGCCAGAAAAGCTATGAGCAGAAGTGCACACACTTACCCTTGAAATAACTAAAAGGAATAAAAAAAAAAAAACTTTCATTAATATAAGGGATGTTTTGCTACAAAATAAAGAAAATGAGAAGGAAATTTGTTTATATTGGATTTATTGAACAGTAACTGCATTTATCCAATTTCAGATTTTTTCACAATACTTAGTCCAATTATCCAGACTGCTAGCATGTAAGATAATTTTAATTTAGTGACATTTTACAGTTATTTGAAGTAGTGAAAAAAAGTCAAATCTGCAAACATTCAGACCATGCAAGAATTCCTGTCTTAACATAGCTGAACAGATAGCAACTTCTCTAAATAAAAGACATCATGTATTTAAAATGTCTTACTTTTTTATTAATTTATTAATAAAAACTCAATGGCATCACTGGTCAATGAAACACACTGAAGATAGTGTGTAGATTGTCTACATACTGGTCAAAGGTAACACCACTGCTACCTTGATCAAAACTGGAGAAATACTAGTACTCATATATACACATATCACTTTAGCCATATGAAGAACACCAAGCAGAAGAAATGTACTTCCACGTTTCCCCAATTTTTCATATTAAATAAGGCAATAATATAAAGCATAGCAGCACAGCAACATAATTAAATCTCTAGATAGCTAGAGATGTGTAAAAATAAACACCTGGATTTACACTTTGATTCTTTGTTATGTAAAATAAAAACTCTAGATTCCACTGGCAGGAAAAACAGAAGTAAAGGTTCTCAGAGAATCCAAATCAAAGAAGCTGTGCTTTCAGCCTGTGGCATTATTTGGAATATCTTGAGCATCTGCTAAGTGCAGTTTCTGTCTGAAGCAAACTATTAAGGAATACAACTTTCACATATTGGTAAGATACAAACAAGATAGTGTTATGGAAGACTATGCTACACTTAGTCCTGCAACAGGTATATACCAGTCCAGATAAATACAGTTCTATTGTGTCCCATGCTAGTTCTCAACTAGTAAATCAATCTTTGTCAATAAGACTTAAGCGTTACATACCTCCAGCATTAGCTTGCATGTCAAGGGGGATGCCAGAGGATTTATATCGTTATTATGGGATATCATTATCACGTTCCACTTGCATTCTTTATGAGATCCAGCCTCAAACAGCTTTTCACAGACACAGAGGATGTTTATACTAGTGCAGTATCCTATGTCCCAAACTAGAAACCACCCACTGGACTGTCCTTCCTTCCTCAAGGAGTAGGAAGTGTATAAAATCAGAAATAGCTAGACTATAGTACAGACTGAGCATATCACCTGTCATCTGTATTCTTAGCTCATTAAAAGCACAGTGTAGAAGATAGATAATACCATATTTAGCTTTGTCTTCTGGATTGGCTAAGAGCACACATGTTCAGTTACCAAAGCTCAGCTGAAATAATTGACTCAAACATAGCCTGGCCCTAGGAATAAAAAAATTAGGTTACCGCAGCGTTCACAGCAAAGCCAGTAATAAACAGGTACATACGTTTTTTAGAAAAACTAAAAGGTAATAGGACTCATTTATCAGTGGGACAAAACGCTTTTGAATACTACAGAAGGACTATTGCTGTGTATGTTTGCTCTGGCATTTCTCAGCAAAACGTATGTAAAGAAAAGCTGCTTCTGATGGGCTTTGCCATCCCCTGTCAAATATCTAAAACGTTGCACTCCAGCCAAATGAATTGCCATATGAAAAAACAGCCTGTAATTAAAAGTGTTAAGATCCAGCTATTTATATGTTGGAAGAAATTAAAGGCCATGATATATTACAGTTTATATTACATTTAAGACAAAGGATACATAGATGAATTCAGTTCTTCCAGCTGCAATATAAGTGTAGAAAGTATCAGAAATGGTATTTCAGTTCACAGAATCACAGAATGGTTGAGGTTGGAAGGGCCCTCTGGAGATCATCTTGTTCCAACCCCCCCTGCTCAAGCAGGGTCACCTAGAGCACATTGCCCGGGACTGAGTCCAGACGGCTTTTGAATATGTCCATGGACAGAGATTCCACAGCCTCCCTGGGCAACCTGTGCCAGTGCTCTGTCACCCTCACAGGAAAGGAGTTAGTCAAATAAATGTAACAATTCTGCTAATATGCAGCAATAAATATATTAAAATGGTGAAATAGAAATTTATGATTAACGGTTACTGGTTTAAGTGGAAACATTTAATTTTATTACAAAAAGCAAAGCTAACTTGCACTGAATTCTACAGCAACAGAGCTAAGTACCAAATTAAATTTAAATCTAGGTATCTCAGGAAATTTAAAGAAATTTTAACAATTTTGTTGTTTACAGAAATAATACACTAATGAAAGGAGAAACTGGAAGTCTAGAACATGACCTAGATTCCTTGTAATGTGTACTCCCCCCCCCCACACACACATAGGGCTGACACACCTACATCCTCACATAGTTTACTGTTGAGCTGCTCTAATCACCAAAACAAGAAGCAACCTATAAAGAAAGAAAATAAGAAGGTACTGTATTTTCTCAAAATCAAGATGAAGTAACTAAGGCTTAGGTCTTGGTTCATTGCAGAGCTATGTTTTCCTCAGCTGTAAGTTTCCTAGACTACAGGCTGAATCATTACCCATCCAATATAGTGTTTTATTCTTGAGCCAAGTTCTGCAGACAAAGTTCCATGTTTTCTGCGTTCCCTGTACTTACATCTGATAGCAGTCTATCCAAATTGGAGTCACTGGCTAGTTTTCTTTTATCTTCAGGGAGTTCTTCCAGCTCCCCATAGAGCTCCAAGTTGAGGCGAGCAAGCTTCTCCTGCATACTCCTCACATGTTCCATCTGCTCTATGGAACACTCATTTCCTAAAAAGAACAAACAAAACAAAGCTTTAGAGAAAGAAACCTGAAGGAGCAAATGAAGGTGTGAAGTTATAGCTCAATGTGACAAAAAACAAACAAAAACGACAAAAAACCCATACCTTACAACTCAAACTCATTATCAGAGAAGAGAATTTGAACATCAGAGGTACTTTCTGCATGATTTCATCCTGCTTCACTACTGAAGTTTCTGTCCTCCCATCTGATATAATATTGTACTGAATTTATGATAACCACCAACTGTACTATACTGATTTTTGGAGTATACGTTTGCTAGCTATAATCTGAATTTGTCTCCCATTAGAAAGGTCCTGTATTTTTAAATGTAAATGCAATCACAACAAATCATCTTCCTAATTTTGATTATTCCTGGGGTTCTCTCTCTTGTAAATGACATGCTCCATAACAGAGACCTTTCAGCTTCTCTTGTACAATCAATCTGGAGGTAACATGACATGCTGACCTAACACCAAGCTTGCAAAAGTATATATGCATCTTTCTACAGAGTACAGAAACAATGAAGCAGAAGAGTCTCCCATAGTTTTTTTAAAACTTGCATCTACTTTAGAGTAGTTAGAATAGCAGAATACCTGATTCTAAGGCACAAGGACTCACACTGGTAAAAAGCAACTTGATTTGGATTCTATAAAAGTCATTGCTGAGATTTTATAGACTCTCAGCAGTGACTTTTAGGGAGTGCGTCAGGGTTAATATGCTGCAAAATCAGGTGCTAAATGAGATCAATTATATTTATCCTATATATAATAAGTGTCTTTAAACTCAGTATCTTAAATCTGTAAGTCAAGGTACTGCCTTAGGTGTGCCATGTTGGTTAGAAGCTATGAAGAAATGGCATTTGACTCAGCTCACACTCAAGATAAGCTCACGGTTAACAGGATTACCATGTAAAAAACACAGTAAGATCTATTAAGTTATGTTTAACTTAATTTCATATAGCAGAGACCAATGTGACAAACTGCCAATTTGTCCATAAAACACATTCATTTGCAAAGATTACCATCGTATAGCTACAAAGGCAACTATTTCATAAAGACAATCCATTCATTTACCAAACGCTTGAAGCTTGCCAGAGTGGAAGTCATTCAGGAGACTCAGAAGTCCCCTTTCCATTTCTTGGACATCTGATACATCTGTGAGAAACGAATGCTGGATTGGTGCTGCCTGTGCCCCTTTTGCTTCCACTCCTGGAGGTTTGGCTTTTTCTTTTATTACTCTGAAGAAATTAAATGATTAAAGAAAACAAAAATTACTTCCTGTTCTCCCTTCTACTGAAAATTTAAAACGTATGACGACTCTACAACCGGGCTTTAAAAGTTAAATGGAAAATATATAATACATATTTTAATTACTACTTTTAAATGGATCACAAGTTTGTTTTAAAAATAAAGAATAATATCACTATCCTGACAATTTGATATTGCAGAATGAAGGATTCCAACTATCTGCTTTCCTGTCAATAGTGGGAAACATCAATAATGGCTCTGAGGAGAGCCACCTTAATAATCTAACAAGCAGCATTTACCCAGCAAGGACTCAGGAGGCATGAGGACCTGACATACACAAAAGTCAACGAAAAAGCAGGTGAAACTCACTTCAATCCTGAGAGAAAAACTCTCACCGATCACGCTCCAGTTGTCACATACCACTCTACTCTGGAACCCGTGCAGAAAACCATTCATTATAACCTATATGAGAAGATGGCCTTGCCGTCACATGACTTTTCTCAGCTTCAAACAACCTCCAAATTCTGCTAAACTCACCATCAAAAGCAAACTTCCTGTACACTAATGCATACCAAATAGAACTAGTCTGTGCCTGAACAAATGTTGAACTAGATTTAAAAAATTCTCTACAAGCCCCTGCTGTAACAAAATGCCTAGATCCTGGTGATATTTTCTCAAAATGTAATAAAGTTTATTCATGGGCACATGGTGCTCTGAGAACTAAGTGGATGAAACTGAATAATCTTTATGAACTCAAAGGAACATGCAGTCAATATGGAAACAAAACACACAATTACGAGCAAGAATTATTATACTCCATCTCTATAGTCCATCCAGAGATGGACTGTCGGGCTGCCTCCTAACCTATATACAGATCTTCATAAAAGGGCATTTTCATCTCTCATTTGTCCATCCATGTGTGCACATATCCTTCCTCTCACATTGAGATGGGTAATTCTGCAGCCTCATGGTGAGTCAGCTCAGAATCTGATTCAGTGAAAAACACCCCCTTTTTCCCCCCCTCTTTCCTTTCCTTTTTTTTTAAAAAGGAAAAACACAAACAAAATTACTCTTACAACAGATCAGGTGACTGAACTGCCATCTTGCAGCAAAGATGGATCCAGACTGGTGGATCCAGCAGCAGACTGGTGGATCTAACGTACAGAAAGCAGCAACAATGCAGTAGAGAACAGGAGGAGGCCCCTTCCAGTAGAAAAATCACAGCTGTACCAGCCTAGATTAGCTTCATCCCATCTTCCCATCCTGTTCCTCAAGGATGATCTACTAAACATTTTCAAAAGTTGTGCTTAAGAATCAAAAATCAGAATTTTATGGGATATTAAAAAAAAAACACACAGGTTTAGTAAAGAGACTTTATTAGTAAAATAATGCGCTTACAGCGCATTTAAATTCACCCTTCCCATGAAAACTTCCATGCTCTGCAAGTCATAAATTCTCTTTCCTATGGGAAATAAACATTCTTTCTCCCTTTTCCAACCTAACAGCTTCTATAGTCCATAAGCATCATCTGTCTTCCAACTAATAATCATATCATGCTCTGACTAAATTCAAAGCAACAGTTCTCAACTTGCACTTAACTTTGGATATTGCTGCTTCAGTGTCAGACTTGAAGAGGGCTTGTATGCCAGAAAAGTTGTCTATTTTTCACACCTATATCTGAAGTTTAATACAATATATTACCACTCCCAGCAACTCATTTCATTTGAAATTCATAATATATATCAAAAAACAGCTATTTAATTAAGACTGTATCATTTGTCAGTGCCCTTTTTCTTTTAATAACAAATTTTTAAAGTACATTCGTATAATTAATTTCAGGAAATCAATTATGCAAATGTACTCTTCAGTGTTTTGAAGTCAGTGATACACCAGAATGAAGAGGAAGCGAAAATAATTAAATAAGCCTACTCCTCTATCTCACAACAACAGTTTATCCTCACATAGCTGTTTTATCAATTACCATTTCTGCTTGGAAAGTTCTAGAAATTGTCCACATGATCAGTGCTTAGCTTCCCTAACCACTTGAGTAACAATATCCGTTTCCAAAACTTAAAGCAAAAGGTTATTTCCAAAGCAAGGACATCCTCCTCTCTAGCCCATACTGTGGGCTACGAGAAATAATTTTGTGGCAAATTCTAGAATACTACGTAGTCCTAAGTAAACTGTACAGTGAGATGCAAGCACCACTTATAGAGGACAGAGTTTCATTATTCCCCTCAAAATATTAATGCATTTTTCCCTGAAAAGTAATGGATACAGACTTTACATTGAAGATATGCACAGTACTTTAATCCTGCCGATACTGGATCCTTCAAACAGCCTGTCAGTGCTCAAGAGGAGAGTTCAGTCAGCTAATACTTACAGGTCAATAAATTCAGCTGACTCTCTCCAGCTAATATTTCATATTCAAATCCCTCTTCCCTCATTTTTCTGCTGTTGCTGCCGCAGCCAATAGATATAGTTTCCCACATGCAAGAAAATCAATATCCTCAAACTGAAATACACACATCATTAATGCAAACTACTTCAAAGTGTTACTCTCCAAAGAGCTGAATGCCTCTGTCTGTATATGAGTATGTCTGGGAAGCTACTGCTGCCCTCAGCGATAGCCCCCCAAACAAAAACTTGCTGGAAATTCCTGTTCTAGCTCATCCTATTCAATTTATGTATGTCCTTCATTTCCTGTCCTACTTGTCAGTTCTAACCTTGCCGCCGTGTTGTAATACATTTGTTCCTCAGAGCCGTACATCTAGGGCTCCACTATCTCCCATTTTACAGTGACCAGATTTGTCATGTTTGATCACGCAGGATGTCTTTCACCAATCACATCAGGCATTCATCTGTCCAGCTAAATCTTTATCAGCATGAGTGTACATTATGTAACATTTTATAAGGCTTACATGATGAGTACACATATGTTGAGCACCTTCTATTTCTATCAGGTAACTATTATACTGCATTAAACAAAATCAAATTGTCAAAAAGACAAGTCATCAAATATTTTCACAAGTCTGAATTTCTCTCTCTTCATTCTCTCTGAGTCAATCACTTAGACCGCTGAACCCCACAGTTTGTCCTGCATCGGCAGGCTTCTGACTCTAACATTGAGCCTGTAAGACACTCTCAAGCTTACCGTTTTAACTTTGGTTTTTGTACTGTAGATTGCGGTGCAGGATTTGAAAAGGCTGTACTTTTACTGACTGGCACTGAGTTTTTCTTGGAGTTTGCAACCTGAGCAGGGTGAGTGGTGGATGACTTGGGGCTCCTCCTCTTGATTTTCCTTTCTTCCATGTCTTCTGATTTACTCCTTAATTACTGCATCTAGACTAATTTCTTGTCCTCTGCAAGGAAGAAAAACAGTTATGAAACATCCAACAAAACTCACATTTATAATAAAAGCAAGGGAAACAGGCCACAGAGCACAGAGATAGTTTTATAGTTTCTTCAAAGATCAGCAGCTACTCATTTCTTCAAACAAGAGAATCCAGTTTTCAGAAGAAGCTGCCCAGGCCTGTCTGATCAGCAAAACAGTCAGGGATTAAGAGCTTCTGCACTGGCTTCAGCCTATAGGTACCTACAGAATGACAGTAAGCTTTGTATCTCATGGATCATTACCAGAAAACACTGTGACTCCTCAAATACAGGACAATCAAAATACTAAGAAGTGACGGAGGCACGTGACTGCTGTTTTACTCATCCTTGCCAAATAACCTCCTCTGGCAGGGGACATAGCCTATTTGAGATGATACTACCCAAAAATCACCTGGCTTGGGGAAAATCCTCCTTCGACAGCCATAATCAAAGTGAGCACAACCAGGAAATTTTAGATACAACAATATAAACCGCATGGCATATTACTGACCCACCGAAGTCAGCTCATTCTAGGTTCCTCACTATTGCAGACTCCGGATCCACAAAACGCCACAATCTGGGGCAACGACTCTTGTATTTCAATGCAGAAAAACCTATTTATCTATTATATCAGTATTTTATTAGCACGGTCACTTGTGACCCTGGCGGCCACGGTTCACACACCGCCTCTGCCTCAGCCCCAATGGCCGGCATCG